GTTGGGAAGATTTCACCTCGCTCCCTGCCCCTGTGACAAGATAGGTATGAGCTTTGGGTTAGGGTCAACCATGAAGATAAAAACAACAAAGCTCCATCTCCATGTGTAAAATCTTTTTTATTTTGATAATAAAATCAGTTAAAAATACTCACAATTATAAATTTCTTTCACGCTTGTCAAAAAGCCACAAGATCAATATCTATGGAATAATCTGCTCCAACTGCGTACACAAACAGCTGCCTCAAGACACATCACCATACCACCGTGCCACCGGCTGCTTTAGACTGGATCTATGTGTTTAAGGGGCATGGCCTCTTCCTCAGAATCACAAGGTGGCAGGGTGATGTGTCCGGCGGCAGCCGTTTCTATACGCAGTCGGAGCTGATCCATAGATATTGATCTTGTGGCTTTTTGACAAGTGTGAAAGAAATGTATAATTGTAAGTATTTATAACCGATTGTATTATCAAAAATAAAAAAAAGATTTTACACATGGAGATGGCGCTTTGTTGTTTTTATTTTCCAAGTACATGACAAGAACCCCAGAGTCTTCCTGACGAGCAGCCTCTTTAAAAGGTGTAGAGACTTTAACAAAACATAATACTTGTGGAGGATTGTGTGACGGAAATCATAGCGCCAAGAGGAAAACAATTTCTTTCTTTGACCTGGATATTTAGGGTCAACCATGAGTTCAACCCAAACCTAAGCTGTTCGTAGTTCACCGAATGGGCGAACGATTTGGCTAGTTTGCCCACTCTGTGCACCAATGACAATGGTAAGCCCACACAGCATCATTGGTTGACTGGTGGCTGAGCTGCACAGCATCATTGGTTGTTATGATGCACCCACCTTCACCCTAGCAACCCATGACGTTGTACGGTTCAGCCACTATTGTCCTAGCAGTCAATGATTCTGTGCAAATCACTGGTTGCTAGGACACAGGCAGCTATGGGTTTGGTTCACTTGGACATTAACAGAACCCTGATATGTAGTTAGGTACAGTGGGCATCTAAGTGAACCAAACCCATACCAGTTTTCTCATCACTACAGCAGAACAAGAAATGAAAAGAATGGATGTCAACAGGACAGACAAGTGATAGATGGTAAAACTAAACTTACAGAGGTTCCAAACATTCCCCATTTTTACTATAGAAGTGTTTTGTTGCTGCGTGAGTCTTCTAGAGATATTCTTTTAACACTTCCTGTTTCTAACAGGAATAGAAGTGAAAACTACCCTATTCTGTTCAAATAAATGTTTTTTGGGGTTTTTTTTATTTACAGAGGCTCTATAAGAGTTCCTGTGTGCCCAGCTTAGGTCCTGTCAAGGTGATTGTGGGTGGACTAAAATGTAACTGTTAGTGCAAATAAAACATTATCCTGGACAGTACTAAATGGCACTGATAAAAAATGTTGGGTGTGTCTGTGAAAGAAAAGCAGAGAGGGTTCTGAGAGGGAAGCAAATATGCAAATTGAAGAAGAAGTAAAGCATCTATGATACTGGCAGTGCAAAAGGAAGACAAAGGTCCTCAAGAAGGACCAAACATGATCAGAAGATTATGACCCATAACCAAACAAGAAAGCTCATGTGGGCTTCTCTTGGTAGAAGTGTGGCCTGTAGGTTTTCCCAAAATCAAAACAACTTTGGATAAAATCTGTCAAGTTTTATGCAGTCTGGGTTTACAATGGTGATATTTCTCCTAACTTTATGTCCTGGGGACTATAAAAGTGAGGGGCAAAGACAACAATGAAAAAAACCTGCTAAACAAAAGGCTTTTTATTTCTGCCTGTGTTGCTGATGATGAGATAACCTATACTTCCTGCCCTGGTGACCACACTGTAAGCAGTTCCATATGTCCATGGTTTTGGAATGGGATGTCCAACAACTAATATAGATGTGAATGTCAGGTGTCCACAAACATTTGAGCCATATAGTCTATATATACAGTATAATATAGTGTGGCCAAAGATTGAGTTCCAAATCAGATGATCTTATCGCTTCTTTGTTATCTCCTATGCAGCCTAATTGTTGCAAACAATGCTTTTATCTCTACACATGGTCTGAAATATCAGTCTGGAAGTGGCTACCCTTTGCAATTTTTTTATTGATCCTTTTTTCTTGTGTTTTGTTTGTTACAATCTGTTTATCTGTTTCCTTCTGCAATGTCATATTCTGACTAAGTGAACTAAGACGTGATCACATTCATTTCAGACTTTATTTTGGTTTGAGAGTAGACATGGCCGTTTAGTTAGAATGTCCTGCAAGCCCCCGCTTGCTCCGTCTGAAACTATTATCGTTATGTTAAATTTACATGTTCTTACATTCCCAGAAAAGCCTTTGCTTAATTCCTGGTTTACGCTGCTGATGTGTGATATTAATAAAATGATACATTTCCTCCTGCTTTATGGCTTTTTTTTTTAAGTAATGCATCCGCATAAAAGCTAAACGTTGGCAATAGCTTTCAGAAAACAAACTTAGCTCTTAGTAAAATGAATTCTGTTGCATTAAAAGTATCTAAGATATAGTCTTTTCCCCATCCATAGCTCTCTTATGTGTAATAAGTACAGATGAGCAGAATCCACTTTATCTGCTCCATGGTTTGTTTCAACTAATTTAGTATTTTTGTATATTTATATTGATATACAGTATGATGCAATCTGTTCCTAGCATTTATAATAATTTTTGCGCCTCTAACCCCCCCCCCATATATTGTTCTATTCTATTCCTATATATTTTTTGCCATTTGATCCTGCCAGTAAATCGGCTGATTTTATACTTCTTTCAGCAGGGTGACAATGCTGGCTAATCTTCACTGAATCACTGCAGCATTGTCACCCTGAACAATGGAACTTGAAGTGACACTAATCTCAAGAGTTAAACCTTAAAAATACATTCAAGTACCTTAAACTTTCAACAAACATGTATCTTATTTGTGTATCACTCGGCTGTAGATCCTCAAATCATCTCTGAATTGGTGCTGACACTGTCCTTCCTTCTGGAGCAGTGATGGCAAACCTTTTTGTACCCGAGTGCCCAAACTGCGACGCAAAATCAATTTATTTACCTCAAAGTGCCAGCGCTAAAAATAAGTTTAGTACTTTATTGCAGTTCGGGCGCTTGAATATAAGAAATGTTCAACATCACTGCCTTAGGCCCCATTCACACCAAGCGACATACCTTACAAGCGGGGTCGGGATAGCGTGACTGTTCAGGGCGACGTTCCAGCGACAAGCGCGCGACCTTCATCGTCTGGGTGCATTCAAAAATAGAAAAATTGTGCGACATCCGCAGGAAAAGGGGTCCTGCTGAAGCGACAGCGACATGGAGCTGTACATTAGAACAGCTCCATTGAATAACATTGGCCAGCGACTTCTCGCGATATTGCGCTGTAAAAATGCGTGAAATATTGGGATTTTACGCACAGTGTCAATGGTGCCTTAGGCAAAATAGGGAAACACGCATATTCAAACATTTATACACTTAATAAAACACATACGCATACACACATAATGACACACACACATTACACACACACACAGAACTACTAATAAAAATGAATAAATAAAACATTGCCCCCTTTCGTGCTTACCTGTTTTGCAGGGAGGTGGGCTGCATCCCTGGGGTCTCATCACTACATCTCTCATGGGGGGGGCTGTGCGGCTCTTGGGGAGGGCTGTATGGCTGGGCCTTCGAGGCTCCGGGGGGCTGTGCGGCTCCCGGGGGGAGAGGAAAAGGCTGTGCGGCTCTCATGGGGGATCAGAACGTCCTGGATCGCCTCTGCAGTCGGGCCGGTCACAATCAGGCAGCTGCGGTGACCTCTAAACAGGCAGATTAGACGGCCACTTGCGGGGGCCTCCCGGGGTCCTAACGAGGAGGAAGCAGCCGTCTAATCTGCCTGTTTAGAGGCCACCGCCACTGCTGCCTGATTGTGACTGGCCTGGATCGCGTACTGAGGCGAGCCGTGTCGGTCGGATCTATTTCCATTGGTGGTCACTGAACCTGGGCTCGCGTGCCAGCAGAGAGGGGCCCGCGTGCCAGCAGAGAGTGCCCAGCTGCCCTCCCTGGGACACGTGCCATAGGTTCGCCACCACTGTTCTGGAGGGTGGCTACTTTTGTTCCCCATGGTCCCTGTGTGTGTTGTTAAGTAGCCACCGCTCCAAGCTTACTTCCATGATAGACTACAATCTCAATACAATTAGTAAACTAAACATGAGATTGTAGTCTATCACAGGAGTGAGCTTGGAGCGGTGGCTACTTTACAACACACACAGGGACCATGGGGAACAAAAGTAGTCCACCTCCAGAAGGAAGGACAGTGTCAGCACTAATTCAGAGATGATTTGAAGATCTACAGCCAAATGATACCCAAATAAGCTACTTTTTTTGTTAATAGGGTACTTGAATGCATTTTTAAGATTTAACTGATGAGTTTAGTGTCACTTTAACTCACCTCCCCTGGTTTTCTTGCCTGGCGCCTATTTTTTCCCCCTGGCTTATTCTTGTCATCTTGATATGTCGGTGGGGGATAACGAAACTGCCGCACATGCGCATGGGACATTATTCATCCCCACAGAGAGGTGTGCCAAGAATGTTACACGGAGCTTAGTGTACATTCTAAAAAAGATTGTGAACAGGCAAGAAAGTTTTTTTTATCTGAGGGGCATAGAATGTGTATTCTGAAAAAAAAAGAGCCTGCCAGCTTCCATTTTTTTAAAGTTATAATTGAAAGCCAAGCTCAAGCTACAGCAAGGGTTGTATTTCTTTTAGAAATAAAGAAATAAACCATGTAAATAAAGGGAAACGATTGTAAGCACCTGTGGTGCTATTTGGTTTCTCCCAACTCCATTAATTGTTTCTTTTCTTGGATAGCTTGGTCTGCATCTCAACATGGAGATTGATGCAAACAAAGTAAAATTAAAAAATGAATATCAACAAAAGCACTACTCAAAACTTCTCATTCTATTGAGAAAGCACTAAACATTTCTTGCTCTTTTCCTTCACAGTTGGACAGCGCCACTTCCCTGATTCAAGCAGCCAAGAATCTGATGAACGCTGTTGTGTTGACCGTGAAGGCTTCATATGTGGCTTCCACTAAATACCAGAAGGTGTATGGCACGGCAGCTGTGAACTCCCCCGTTGTCTCCTGGAAGATGAAAGCTCCAGAAAAGAAACCTCTAGTAAAAAGAGAGAAACCTGAAGAGTACCAGACCAGAGTACGACGAGGATCCCAAAAGAAGCATATTTCCCCTGTCCAGGCTCTAAGTGAATTTAAAGCAATGGATGCCTTCTAGAACTCTAGGCTTTACTAAATGGTTGTTATTTTTTTTTAAGAAGTCATTTTGTATGCTTACCTGCCGACTTGTATGTGTCTGGCATGATCTAAATCTTAGCACTGTCTATTTGCATGCTACCCAAGATTTTATTGGAGTTAAAATACATTGAGCAAGACAAGAAAATGAGTATATTGACCTCTGATAAATTTCTAACTTGTATTTTGGCCCTAATCCCATCCCGAAGCTTTGAAACATGAACAGGAGTTAGCCAGTGGAGAATATTGAGTTGTAGGCTACCAGCGATTTCTAGGTGCTCTAACTGCTTGATCAAAAATCACCCATGCCCGCATGCCTAAATCAATCTTTAAGGAGACCCTAATATCACCTGGTATGCTAAAAAATAAACATGGACAGGAAATCTGAATTAGGAGTGCTTACAGAAATCCTCCTTGCTGCAGAGATTGGACTTTGTTTTTAGCATAGCAAAACTGCAACTTCTGGGAGTGTTGAATAGAGAGCCTTCCAGGGCACCTGCAGCCTTCCCCCCATCAACATGATGTAAAAACCACCACTCAAAGCCACAACATAGTTAGCCCACTTATGTTGCAGTGGCTTTTAGTGGACACCCTGATAAGCTGTATATTCAACACCTCTGGTTGTGTGGATTTTGATTAACGCTGAACTCCAGGAAGAAATGTCTTTGCAAACTTAAATTCATCCGGCTTAACTTAATGTAAATATACATATCTGATATTCAGAGGGGCTCCAGGGATCCTAAAAAATTACTGTAATATTATATGCTGCCTACACTGATAGCTGTAATCTTCCAGCTGCAGATCTAGTGGCTTCCCCTTTGTACATTGAGCACAGGGAGTCGCTGAGCACATCTGTCATTCAGAGAATGCCTTGTATTTTTTTCAATCAATACAAGTGGTTCTCTGGTTTGA